CCTACCACACACACACACATAGAAAAAACAGCAACAACAACAAACAAACAAAACAAAAACATACACAAAAATTAGAAACATAAACAAAATTGACGTTTAATACATTTAACCGAATAATCACCAACAGAACATTCAAGTTTTACTTACAACTTTCAATGCCTAGCCCCAACTTCTCAAACCATGCCTGTTATTAACCCTGCCCCTCAGTGGCACAGCGGCATGTCTGCGAACTTACAAAGCTAGAATCCAGGTTTCGATACCCGTGGTGAGCAGAGCACAGATAGCCCATTGTGTAGCTTTGTGCTTAGTTACAAACAAACCAAATTTATTAACCCCTATTGTTCTCTGTATCCCCGACATTCAGCGGGCGGTCAGTTTTTGTTGCCCGGAATACGTTTTTTTTACTAAACCAATTATTGACTGTAGCTTTCAGTACCGCGTTAATTGCCACAAAGATTAGAGCTTAGATGCCTAACTTCGACACTCGGCCGAGTATTACCGGGTAGCCCAATACCCGGCCGGGGCCGAATATCTAGTCGGGTACCGTGCATCCTTAATTATGATATATTGTTCCTTGCCTTCATTCATAAGCTTTTAGAATCACATATAAACATAGAATGCAATTCTTATAACTCATATGAAGAATAAATAGTGTGTAAGACAGAAAGAAGCACTAGAAAATGCTGAATGTGGGTCGCGGGTTCGAATCCCCGTCCCACCAAACATGCCCGCCCTTTCAGCCGTGGGGGCGTTATAATGTGACAGCCAATCCCACTATTCGTCGGTAAATGAGTAGCCCAAGAGTTGGCGGTGGGTGCTAATGACTAACTGCCTTCCCTCTAGTCTTTCACTACTAAATTAGGGACGGCTAGCACAGATAGGTCTCGTGTAGCTTTGCGCGAAGTTCAAAATCATACAAAATGTTGAAGATGCAAAATGAATTTTGCAGCTCAAGAAAAGCGAGAGGGATATCAGCTATTTTTAAATATGATTCATACGCTTTTCTTATTTATTCTGACTCTCTGTAACACGGGTACTAAAGAATTTATATTGTAATACTTTGTATTTTAAGATATCCTGCAAGTTGAACAATAAGCATGCGTGACCGAATTTCTCGAATTATCGTGGAACTCCGCGAATTTTGGCGAAGCCTCTTTGTTAGTATATAAGCCTGGCGAGAAAAGTATCAGTTACAGTTTATTTAATGGTATTAAATAATCCCTGCAAATATACTCTTAAAGTTATTACAAATTATATAAATTCATGATTAATGAAAGGTTATCTCAGGACATGAAAAGTTGCTTCCCTTATATGTAATTGTAAAAAACGCAGAAACTATAAAAACTGCAAAACACAAAATGTGAAACCCCAAATTGTATGTACCCCCGCAAGGACCTAATGAACCTCCATACCAATTTTGGTGAAGATCCATCCACACCCTGCGAAGTAGTTACATGGACATACAACATACACACATTTTTATGTATCATTGTTTTCGCTAAAACCACAGAATTTATATTAAAATATCACTTTACGCTGAAACAGACAGAAACAGGAGAAATATATTAATACAAAAAGAGAGGATACAGAAGTTATTGGTAAACTGGTAAAGACGAAAAAGAAACTTGCAACGAAGCAACAAACAAGAAGAAGAAGAAAAAAAAAACGCCAAGAAATCCATTTCCAAGATAAGTCACGTTACAGTCTTCTGCACTGACGTCTTTCCAGACATCATTAGAAAGTTTGATGTAACTTTGTGTTAAGTACCATTCTTTATCTGATATGTATTCTGATTTTCTTAACCTTTAGTATAACCGAAATGTAGCTGTATTTTGTGTATTAGCAGAAAAACAACTTTAGGCGCAGTAAAAAGGTCTATAACTGAGGTACAAACAGCGAAGAAACTATACGATAAACTACATAAAAACACCTTCAGTCTATTGTTGTTGTTTTTTTTTTTACCTACAAATATCAATTTTAGGAGCGCGAAAAACGGTGCTAGTGATACATAATATTTAAAGTAAACGCGAAAACTTTAGTTTCCTTTGCTACATAATGGGCTATCTGTGTTATGCTCACCGCGGGTATTGAAATCTGATTTTTAGCG